TTAGAGCCGCTTCTTTGATTTTTTTTTTTTTTTTACCATCCGTTTACAAGATTGATGTTCACTTATTCTAACATTTAATGGCCTTTAAAAATTTATGCATTTTAAAGTCGTCTACTTTAAAATGCATAATGTATGTCTGAATTGTCAATATAAATGAGTCAGATAAAATTAAATTATTAGAAGAATTTTTCACTATGTAACAAAAAACAAAATTTGTTTAATTTTACTGTTTGTATTTTGAGAACGATTTCCGAAGTGGAAATTGAAACGTCAATAAACGTATTTTTATCTTTAGTTGTGGCTTATTCCCAGTTTTAATAGTAACTAATTTACAATGCCACAAGAAAATAGCTTCAGAACAATACATTGAAAAAGTCAATATAATTGATTGGCGCAATATGTAGAGTCTATTACAAATGAAGATTATTCCAGCTTTCCTTCCGTTAAAGCACTGTTTGATGAAAATCCAGATGAAAGTCAAGAGATTTCTGACCTACTGAAGCTGTTAGCAGACCTAAAGGATGAAATTTCCATGAGGTTTAGTGACTTCAGGAAGCTCCAATAACCATTTCGCTTGGTGGAAAATCCATGGGCAATAACAACAGCAAATGTAGCTCATTTTTCTATTTTTGGATACGAAGCTAGGGATTTGAAAAATGAGTTAATTGATCTTCAGAATGATACAGAGCTCAAAAGTATTTTTGAAGAGAAAAAAGAAGGAAAAAGCTCACTATAAGTTTTGTGACGCAGTTGAAAATGACAAATTTCCTAACTTAATTGACTGTGCTCAGAAAATTTTGTGTATTTTTGCATCTACACATGTCTGTGAATCTACATTCAGTAAGCTGAAGTTCATAAAAAACAAGTACAGATCTAGGCTAACTAATGAGAACGTTGAAAACATTTTGAGAATTTCAGTTTTTTCCCAACCTGCTAACATATATGCCATTCTAGAGAGATGTGAAAGATTTTGTCCGACAACTTCAAAGAATTAACAAATTCAGTACTTGACATTCCTGGAATCAAGTAACAGACATTTTGCTACTTTTTACATGCAAAACACTCCGTATAATTTATAATTATATATTGTTTTTACGAAACTTGTAATAAACTTATGTTATAGTCATATAGTTATAAAGTTACTGATGTAGACCATGGTATTTTAGCGTAAATTAATTTTATTCTATTCTTAAAAACAAACTTGGAATGTTGAATGAGCTGAACAAGAAATGTTGGATTATGGGGATATTAATGTGGACTATTTATTAAGTACCAAACCAAGAAATAAATTTGAAGTGTGTCTAAATGTTAATGCTTTTTTCTCTGTAAATCGAAGTATAGCTAATAGGGTCACAAGTAATTCAAAAACACTTATATACTATACACTCACCAAATGACCAATATTTTAGTTTAATAGGCTAAATAAAGATAGATTTAAGTGTGAGTTACTTCAATTACTGGACGAAATCTGGGATGACCTCAACATTTTATGTGATAAAATACTTAGAACCTTATCTACCCAATAAGAATATGGATATTCAATCAATGTATATATACCAAGTATGTACGTTCCTACACCAGTGTCAAATGGAGAAATTTCACTCTAATATGGAAACAACTGCCACTCATTAAGTTCACAACTATAACGTAAGACATTAATTTCACCTTAGAGCTACAGCAATGACCACAATTGTAGGACAACGAAGCATTGTGGTAGAAGTAATAAAGTACTACAACCTTATCACGGACATAGTGAAGGCAATGACCATCAATGCCTTCAAACAAAAATTAAAAATCTAATTTATGAGAACCATTTTATAACTCCCTCACACTGACATTTTTTACATTTGTTTTTTGTTTCTTTATTGGATAAATAAGGTTAAGTTTTGTTTCTGTTAAATAAATATCAATAATGATAATATCTGTACACATATACAGCTGACTCATCTTCTATAAAATTTTTAAGTGTCAAAGTAATATATCTCGCTCAGGGCCTTTTATTCAATAAATAAATAAATAAATATTATTCTGCTTCTGTAATATCGATACATTTTTGGCAAAGTAACGTAAGTCACCAAACACGATTGTAGAAAAACAATTTTTTAATTCAACCTGGTTAAACTTATTTAAATTATGACTGAAAATACTTGTCCTAAAAAAGTTTAAAGTAATTCTAGGCTTACTACACTTTGGCAGTACCTTTTTAACAATAATAGTGTTAGTTAATTGAAAAACTGATTTTCGCAAAAATGTCACTTACGTTACTTGCCAAAAATGTATCGATATCACTTTTCTTATAAATTGGACTCCTTTCCCTTGTTCCTGAATTTTTTTCTACAGCCCAACTTTTGTACAGTGTACAGAGAAAAGGAATGTAATGCATACACTTACAATATTATTAAAAATTACATATACATTTATGAATTATCAGGAAGCTTCAACAAGATATTAATACATCCCAATTTGGTTTAGAAATGCTCTGGGCACACGAGAGGAAATATTCGTATTGAATGTACTATCTCAGAGATGTATGGAAGTCACTCAACCAGTCTTTTTGGTTTTTCAACTACAATCAACCCTTTGATATGGTCTACCATAATCATCTCTTACAACTGCTTAGATATAGGTAACAAAGATAGAATAATAACTATGTGTATTTTAATCAGACTGTAAATGTCAGAGTTGAAGAATTTTCTGACACATACACACAGAGAGGAGTACAGCAAGGTTGTTTAATTTAACCATTATTTTTTAACTTCTACTTGGAAGAAATATACCCCGAACGAAGCCAAAGCTGATATTTATATGATGTTATACTCCATACATAATGGCATCGACAGGCCTTCCAAACAATAAACAATTTTGATATCTCACACATGCAGTTTGTTTTATTTAATTTTAAAAATAGTCCTTATTACAGACCCTATAGTTGCATGGACTTTCACTTACTTAAGAAAATACTTTGAATTACTGAATAATACACAAAAAGACACACAAACACAAGGATAAATGAACATAAAAGCCATTGTCATTTAGGACATATCGACAAATCTGCCATTGCCAAACACGCTTTGGGAAGAGGAGAACATCGGATACTGTTTGAAGAAACACAGATGCTGGACAAAACTTCACAGTACTACCCACGGTTGTATCGGGAAGTGGTGAAAATATATAAGCACCCAAATAATTTTAATCGGATAGAAAAAGGACTAAAAATTAACAAGACATGAATACCAATATTAAAATCCACAAACACCCTTCCCGCCAAACACTAATAAAGAAAAGCTACTCACGCCGAAACCAGTGGAGGGGAGGCGAGTGGGAAATATAAATATTGCCTCCGTAGTACAATGCAGCATCAGTTTCTGCTTACAAGCGAAGCATTAACATCTCCAGAAGATGCCAACCCCTAGTGTTGGCGAAACGTCGAGAACTAATCTCAGAAGACAACGGCCTAACAGTTTAACAAATACAAACATACATCACAGGTCAGTTTTTAGAAATGTTTAGTGAGAAAATCTCAGAAAATAGTAAAATAAATTGGATATTATTTTGTGACAATTTCTATAAGTAATAAATTCAAATTCAACCCATTTTAATCATACCGAGGCATTTGAAGTAGCTAAAATAATTTATCTTAAAATAAATAAACACTTATATAGAAGATAATGTATCTTGCCATAACTAAGCAAACAACAATACAAACAAAATGTGTAACAGTAGTTAAAATTTGAGAGTTTGTAAATGCATTTTTTTCCAGGCAACCTTTTTTCAACCAAGTTTCACAATATATGAAATCTACTGTCAACCCAAAAGTATAGAGCTTAAAAAAACTAACGTGCAATTTATGAAGGCCCTAAAAAAACAATGTGAAAAAATTTTTAAAGAGGTGTTAGACAGGGTGACACACTATCACCAAAGGTTTTTATAACTACCATAAAATATGCTTTTAAAACCGTTAATTGGGATCATAAAGGGATAAGTGCCCCACCTGAGTCATGCTAATGACATAATGCTTCATTAATAATGAAGATGATGTGTAGTGCCCATTTGGTAGTCGCCTTATTTGTTTTTTCTATTTGAATATGTCTGTTATATCCTCACCTTTCATTTGCTATGTCACATGTTAGGATTCGATCAGTTGCTTATTTTTTACTCAGCCATAGGCCCTCTTTAAGTCAATAAATCAAAATTTGTCTTATAGTAAATCTATTTGTATTCATAGTGCCCTATGATATCTCGTATGTCACTATACATTCATTAATAATGGAGATAATGTGCAGTGCCCTTTTGGTAGTCACCTTGTTTGTTTTTTCTTACATAATATATTTGTTATTTCCTCCACTTTTATTTGATATGTCCCTTGTTAGGATTCACTAGTAATAAAAAGGCTTTAAAAAATGTTTTATTGTATTAACTTAGGGTATATTTTGAATACCTTGTCTAGGGGTGACTAACCATCAAAAAGAACAAAGGAACCAAGGTCTGTTCTAATAATAATTTTTTTCATTAATCCGTATTAACTTTACATATAGCAAATTTAAAAAATGGTAAACCATTTTTATAGGCACCATGTATTTGGAAATCAAATTTTTATGCAAATTCCTGTAAAAGCATTGATTAATCTATGTGTGTACATAGTGTTTATAAGATATTATGTTTTTAGATAAGTTAGATATCCACATTGAAAATCTTATCTCTGCCTGTCCAGATTTTTTAAAAGATGAACTTAAATATATATCAATTTTGATATATGGTATCTTATATGAAATCTGTATATAATTCAAGACAGAATCAAAAAAACAATAACATACAGGATGTTCCAAGAAAATAACAATAACAGAAATTATAAACATGAAAATTATGGGCAAAATGTAAATTTAAAGAAAAGCTGTACATAATTTTAAATGAATTTATTCCCAATACTGTAATTAAGTGAAGAATATCCACAATTTGTATTCAATTTGTTTAATTCAAGGGTTGAGTGATCATATACATACCAGCATAGTCTGCTATCTCGGCTCCACCATGTCCATCATAGACAGCAAAAAATGCAGCATTTGGATCATCAGGAAGAGATAAAATGTGAGTATGGGAATCCTCCATGTTTATCCTCCATCCTTGCATACAACTCGATCCAACACGAAAAGAACTATCCTGGCAGCAAGATGTATCTTTTGCTGTCACAGGTTCTGACAACGTTTGACCCATTTTACTGTAAAAACAAATAATATTCAAGTTACTTCACCTAATTTGTCTACAAAGTAAAAAAGCCTCTTTATTTCAGCCATACAGTAAAAAAGCCACATTGCTTCAGCCATGCAGAAAAAGCCACTTTGTTTTAGCTCCAAAGTAAAAAATACACTTTGTTGTCCCCAAAAGGTTTCTGACACATCTCACATTTCACACAATAGCAAATTGTTTTAAAGATATTGAGTATACACATACAATGAGTACATAAAAAAATAGAGACTCTCCATCACTTTTGCATAAACTGCACTACAGCAGATGTTCATTATGTTATCCTGAACTATTAAGACAAACACTTGCATCACAGCTATAAAATTTAAACAAAACACAGATGGTTAATATTTAATTAAAAGATATTAAATTATAAAAAAAAGGTTATCTTAGGATGTCATTAAAATAAATAAAATTGTAGATGGGATATCAAGTATCAACATTGATATTTACAGATTTTTTTAATTTAAAGAGATGTTAGATATTCGAGTAGAATATCTTGTTGAGTAGTAGATTTTTGTAAGAGCCACAAAGGGTCTCATCATGGATACCAAGTGTTCCAAGCATTGTTCTTTTTCTAATTCTATTCTCACTAAATGTCCTTAGTTAAGTTACCTGTTTCTTGGTGATTCAGATAAGTGAGGTTTTTCTTTTTATTGTGTTTGCTTCTATTGTGTCTCTCAGTGACTTTTCAGGTTTGAATAAATTTGTTTCCTTCCCAAGAATACATTATTTAATACACAGTACATATATTGTTGTTGTCATTTGTTATCACATTGCCTATACAATCATTGGTTGCAACTATTTCCACTTTCCTCATAAATACTTGACACAAATATTAAAATATTCAAGATCTTAAGATCTGCAATGTCCCATAATAAGAAAACAGTGACAATAGTTTGAAAAGAGGCTTAAATGGAAATAATAGAGTCAACCAACTGATCCCACTGCATAAAGGAAGCAACTAAAGACACAGAGCACAAAAGGGTGGAACATTAGAAGCGAAGTATGGAAAACAATACTTAAAGAAAACCAAAAAGCTAGAGCATCTAAAATATAACAAAGGATGGAAATTTCATAACAAAAACACCTTAGTTATTTTCAAATTATATTTAGCATTTCTAAACTGTAAACGCTATATATAATATCGAAAAGAACAATTTTTAAATGGTTTTATGTTCTAATTAATGTATGCAATTTTACACTGTACTCAGGTGACATATTTCCTGACAATAAATGTTATCTAAACTGATTGTTTTACAAAAACTTACATGTACGTATATTTATTTTCTTCTTAACTGAAAAGTGGATTACACCATTTTACTATAATATTTCGATGACTAATAAGAGTTTCTTAAAATTGACAAAGAAGTTTAGATTGTAACACCTTCCAAATATTTATTTAGTATTTAACATAATAAGTTTGTAGGTTAAAAGTTTGTGACAATTTTGACAGCCAAGATAGGTAACAGAAACATAGGAAAGTTACCACGCCTCCTTTGCCAAGGAAAAATACCACATACCAACCAGTCAGTTTAATGTAAATTTTAATAATTCTTTTCACAATAATCATTACTCTTGAGATTGGGGTTATTTGCTGGTTTTGTTATATAGGAGCGCTCGTTATAACATAAACGCATAAAGTAGAAGAAAATCACTAAAAAAAAACAGATTAACGTATAATAGCAGCTAATAAAGTCTGAACAGTGATTGGAACATTTGGCAAAGGAAATATCCAACAAAGAGGAAAAAGTTTACCCAAACTATTTATATAAATAATCACAACCTTTTGGATCACACAGCAACTATCCAATTGTTTGTGAACAATTTTATAAAGAATTTTCTTACTTTTAAAATTAGAGCATAGTCGAAACAAAAGCAAATTGCGCTTTTAAGATATTTATATTTCTATACAGAAGATACTACATTTTTTATTCAGTTTTTTGAATTTAAAAATGTAGGGACTTTCACATCTAACGCTAAAGTGGTAGTATTGCAAGATGGCGTCCGAGAAACCCGGGAGCTTTCAACAAGGTAAAATTTTTTGGCTTAAAAATCAAAATAATCAAAATTAACACACAAACTTACTCCTTAATTACAGCCACTACCGATCCTACATTTATCCTAAACAAAACTTGCATGAATATGGCTCACAGTCTTATGTTTTACTGCCGTAGCTGTAAATAGTGTTCTCCCGATCTGTCAAAAACATTGATTTTTGTTTTCAGCAGTTTCGGACTCAGACCAGGAAGAGCTTCGAGAATTCGGTTCTAGCCTGATTAGCATGGAAAATTTAGACCGGACTTCTCCAGAACTGTGGCCAGAGAAGAGTAAGTAAATGATTTATGCGTGAACTTCAAAAAATAATCATGAAATAGTTCCAGGTGTGACCGAATTCATCAACAGCTTCCAGACAACACCCAACAGCACCACCAAGCTGCCCTACTCAAAGGAACTCACCCACGAAGATCAGAATTATGTACATCGTGAGTATTTACCCGTTTTTTTATCAAAATGTTGCATGGGAAAAATATGTGTAGCATAAATATATCAATTAGAACGTTTTTTAAGGCATGAAACTTATAAACATTTTATTTATTTATCAGTACCTTTGCTCGTGTAATGGTAATTGGAAGATAGTAGCATATTCCACCCCAATATTCTCATCATTCATGTTTCTTTTACATCAGAAAGGTTATCAGTTGAATAAATGGTTTCTATTTTGGATATTATTTGACATATTTTGACAGGAATCCTACATTTTACACTTTTATTAAATTTTGTTTGTAACCTGCTCTTCCAAGTGTCAGAGTATGGAATTTTTTAATGATAATGATAGGACCTAATCCCCCTTTATATCAGTTTGCAGAAACCTTTTTGATAACATGTTATCTGTATCTTATAATTATTGTTTGGAAGGCATATTAGTATCTCTTTTTGAAGCCTTTAAATCTGTTCATTTGAGAATCATATTTTACTTACTTATAATGTACCCATATTCATTTTATGATAGAGGTATTTGAAAACTTCGTTAATGTAAAAATTCAAGGTATTTCGTTTTTAAATGTATCTGTTTTGTCTTATTGTGTGTGGTAAAGTTTATTCAAGTTTACTTGTAAGATACTGTCCTAGACCTTTAGTTTATATTGTTTTCATTTCAGAGTTATTCTATGATTATTCTGTAATACCCACACAGAAAGGAGCTCAAACATAACAAAATTATTCAAAAATTGAAGTTATTTCATTCATATACTTTTATTTGATTAATAATATCTATAGTGAAATTAAATCGCTTATGGGAATATTTGTAATGCCTCAATATTATTACTTAATTTAATTCAATTGTCTAATTATTTTATTATTACATACTTACATTTCACTTTTTGTATTCTCTATCACTTTCTTTCTGTTTTGTATTATCCAATCATCCTATTTTATCTCATAAAATAATTGTCCTAATAAAAATAAACTTTAGTAAATCCCACCTTTAGTGGCAAATGATTCCCCAAAGTAGGGAATTCTAATATCAAAATCAAACGGTCCTCATCCCATTGTAAATGGGCTACCTGACCCCTAGGCTATCTAACCACCCTGCTGCAATCAGATGACAATGTTAGGGGGCTACTAGTTTCTGTGTCTGTCAATACATAATCTCAATGCTCAGGAAGCATGATTCTCTGTAGTCCTAGTGCAGAAAAAGAAACTTATCAGTAAATAACTTAGAGTTTAAATATTAGTGTGAGACACATACAAGGTCTGGCTATTAAATAACGAGACTGCTTATGAAAAAAAGTTATATTTTAAAAATTATTCTCTAATTGAATGCTCTCCTTCAATATATTCCCCTTCCCTCTCCACACACTGTTCCATTCGTTTTTTCCATTGGTCAAAGCAATGCTGGAGGCTTTCTTTTGTTAGAGCTTTTAGGAGGTTCGCTGTTTTTCGCTTCATCTCTTCCATCGACTCGAACCAGATTCCTTTTAAGGCAGACTTGATCTTCGGAAATAGGAAACAGTCACAGGGTGCTAAATCAGGCGAGTACGGCGGGTGTTTCGAGCACTGGAATGCCTCTAGCGGCTAAATAACATAAATAATAACTTTATTTAATATTATAGCTAAATAATAACTTTTTCCAAAATAATTCGAAGGGGTCCTCTTATTTTCATCATAACTTGCTTAATTTTGATGCTATCAACTTCTTCTAGAGCTCATTTTATAGGCATTTTTGAGTACTTTGAAAATTGTTCAATAAGTATATTTTATAAACTGCATTGTTTTCCGTTATTTAAGCTTGAATATTCAGATTTGAGTACTATTTATGAAAAACCGCTTTAAAACATGCATTTTTTTCACAAAAAATCAAAATCTTTGATCTTCAATAACTCAAAAAGTCTTGATTTATTTTAATAACTTTATAAGATAAATTTTGTTTAGATTTGGTCCCTCAATCGATTCCTGGGAAACGATTCCTTCCAACGAAATGGGAGTGAAAACCTTCTGTGACTGTACTATAACTATATCTAAATCATAAAGTGATCTATTCTGATCAGTTTTTTGCATCTTCGACTATTTTTCTTAAGATTATAAACAAGTTGTGAGAAATATTGCTCTTTCGTTTGATTATCTTGTTTATTTCAAATATTTCAGGCTTTTTCTCAATTTATATCTACCTACCCTATAATGTTAATGGATATTTTCACTATATGTAGTATTATTAGTATATTAAAACAGTATTTTTTACAGAACTAGCTACTCTCTCAACATCAGGCTTAATTGGAAAAGTGAAAGAGCTACATGATATTGCCTACCAGCTAGGCATAGAAGAATCGAAAGAAGTCACACGTGGGAAGTATCTGAACCTGTTTAACAGAGATAAGAAACATAAATAGGTTTATTTATAAGAATTTATTGTTAAGGGCTGTGGTGTATATTTTTTACATTGAGAAGTGATATTTATGTTTTATTAGATCTTAAGATGGAATATTTTTGTACATTTTGAAAAAATATATAATAAAAATGTAAAAAAAATTGTTTTTTAATACTTCATTTGTATTAATTATCTTCTGAGGATAATTCCATGTGATGGACATTGAAATGTGTAATTAAGCGGCACAGGACTCATATATTGGACACTAAAATTACTGTAGTGTTATTGGAAGAACATAATGATAATTCCAAAACAAATACATGATAGACTGTGTAAAATGTACTAACACTTCAATTTTAATATTGGATATAGGGTATAGTTTGCTGACCCCAGTCCCAACTGTCTAATTAATTTTTTGCTTCTTGATGTGCCATCTGTTACGAATGTTGGCGATCATCATGGCAATCTTTATCTTATCTGCAGCAGCGCGGAAAAGCTGCACAGATGTTGTATTGAACCAGATTCTGAGGTTCTTTAACCAAGATGTTCTTCTTCCTGGACCTCGCTTTCCAAATATTTTTTCTTGCAGGATGGCTTGAAGGAGAGCATATCTGCATTCATTTCGCATAATATGTACGAAGAATTGTAACTTTCGAGATTTAATGGTGGTCAGTACCTCTCGGTTCTTATTCATTCTTCTGAGGATCTCCTCATTTGTGACTCGGTCAGTCCACGAGATCTTAAGTATTCTCCGATATTATTATTTATTATTTACAATAGATTTGAGCAGGGGTTGCAAAACCCATATGCCCATGTGACTACAATGTTATATAGTGTACAATTAAATTGTTACATTACAGTAGTTACATATTAAGCACTAACTAACTAAATGAATATACAATAACATAGGTAATAGCAAGTGTTTAGTACAAATTAAATGTTCAACTATGGAACAAAAGGTCATCCAGTTTATTTTTGAAAATATTGACAAATGGAGCATCTATGATATCAGCCGGAAGGCTATTCCATATCGAGAACACTCGATTACAGAGAAAAAATTGTCTGGTTGTTGTTAAAAAAGTTTCCTTTTAAACTTAAGTTTGTGGCCACGAAGACGATTGTCATTGTCTATTATGAACATATTTCCCAGGGGCGTGCGGTGCATGGATGCAAGGGATGCATTGCATCCCCTAAAATCTAAAATTTATTATCAGTAATTAAAACTACATAATCATATTTTAAATTGATTTGTAATAATTCAAATATTTAAAGATAAAATACGTTTTCAAGAAATCATTAAATTACTTTACGAATGCAATTACTGGCAACAGCGCACGGTGATTGTAATATATCTTTGGATGCATTTTCTGGAACCAATACCAGCCAATACCATTCTGATCGCGCTAGCATCACTTCAATTCGGCAGCACACGTCGACTCTCGGGGCCCGGGCCCAATTTTTATAGATTTGGACCGCCATTTTTAAGAATACTGGATGCAATATTATATTTGCTTACCATAGGCAAGGCGACTGGAGTAGTTCGCATATCGACCGCTTACCGCCAATATCTCCTATCTACATAAATAGAAATTGTGCAGGAGGAAGAAAAACTAATTATTTTTTTATTTTTATATATTACACAACCTGCTTCTATAAGGTAAAATACTATAGCTTTTTTCATATTTTAATACAGTTACTATGTGATTGTAAGTAATATAAGTTTACATATTTGACTTAGGAGAAATTGGTAGTATAAAATTGAAACTGCAAGGAAGTTGGTAGTAAATGGAATTTTATTCAAAATGCATATTCACAACTAAAGATTTCATTCTAACGAAAATAAAAGATTAAAGTTTACTTATTTATGTGGCAAGGAATCATAGAAGCCATGACAGTCAGGTGGTATGACCGTTTTAAGTTCCTGCAGGTGTTTAAATTTGGTGGCCGTTATAGGTATTGGTGTGTTGTGCATAGGTTTATATTCCGTAATGACTGGTATTTGCCGTGGTCGTAATGGTAAGTCTGTCCAATCATCATCAAAGTTGAGTTTAACTTGGATGCTCCAGTAGGTTTGTACATAATTGCTTTAATGTCTATTACTCTCGGGTCACCAACCTTACGGCCAGGTCGTATAGTTGTGTATCTCCAGGTTGACTCATCTGCGTAATTTTTGAAAAAATTGTGTGGAATCATCAGAGCTTCATATGGAAAGGGACGGGTTCTAGCTTCTTTTGTCACTGCCAGGTAATCGCTAGGTAAATGAATATTTCTGTTTTTCAACTTACGTTCTATAGCACTGTGCACCGCGTCCCCTCCATTTGCGTATGTCCAACCTCGAGGAACTTTTGAGTTATGGTAACGCCATGATGCATACAAAAATTTAACAGTGCATTGGCAAGAATTGCATTTCGATTTTGGCTTGTGCATCCGTCTGTAAAAAGAATAATTGGTAAGCGCTTAGATAAACAGTGTCTTTCCAGGTAATCTATTAATAATGAGGCAAAAGTGGAAGCTGTAACATCACTGTCGATTTCGGAAAACCAGTAGCAGGTGGCGTGATGGGTAGTCGTGTCGTATACTGTGAAATTATGGCATGCCAATTTGGTTTTAAAATAGATCGCACTGGCAGTTATACAGGGACTAACTTTAACTGCTTGTACATCAGCGGTCAATAAAATGCATTCATTTCTTACTGCCCTTTCTTTGTCACACATTTTTTCATTTCTAGCTTTGTCCTTATTTTTTATGTGTTGCTGGTAAAGTTCTTCACTTAAATTACCAACGGAGTGTGCTACACAGGTGTCACACATGTCCTTTTTTAACTGGTGAATGGACAAATTCTTGCTATGAAATACTTCATTAAACTTTTTCATCGAGAATGCGGAGGTATTTTTTGATGAACAGTATTCTTTATAGATATTATATAGATTGGATTGCGATTTGTAAAGTGGTTCTAGGAAAAGTTTATTAGTATTTTTTCGATTATAGTGGGATGGCATTTTAGGTAATGCATCCAAAAAGTTATCGAGATGTCTAGTCTGCATCTCAACATCAACCCTACTAGTTTTTTTTCTATTCAAGTTGGCATTGTTTTGTGATGGATGCATACCGTAACGACCTTTTTTAACCCATGATTGAACCGTAAATGAACCCAAACAAAGGGTGTTGAGGAACATGATTCGACATACAGGCCGTCGAAGTGTGTTCCCATGCTCATCATTTCCTGGTAGTGAAAATTGGAGAGTATTACTGCGTCTAGACGTATTTTCTGTAGTATTTCGTTTTGTACTTGTTGTATGGACGTTAGTAGATACAAAAATTTTTCTCTGGTCCCATGTTAGGTCGGACCAAAAATGGTGAAATAGATTTTTTCTGTCTTCGTCACTTATCTGTTCACATACCCTTTTCTTGCTTCTTTTGCAGAAGTTTGATTCACACCTTACTCCCAATATTCTTTCCGGTCGCATTTTATTTTGTTTCATTCTTTCATGTTTTGGATTTGTGTAACCCAAGTATTTTTTGCCTTGCATCCTAAGTAGTTTGTTATAATTTTTTTTCCATTGCCCTTTGTCTCCTTTTCTTTTACGTGAATTTCCTTCTCTCAAGTCTCCATGGAAAACTTCTTGGGTGTATGTTACATCATCTGCGTCAGTTAGCAGCTCAACTGGAGAAGAACAAGGAGATACTGCTTCTTCGGATGGTTGGTAACTACTACTTGTATAATATTCTGAAAATTCACTCGAATTAGAACTTGAATCTGCTGAATTCAAGGAAGCGTCTTTTTGTGTCAATGGAAATGTTTGTGTTGAACATGGTTCAACGTTTGAAAGTGTTTTTGATAACTCAGTAGGTGTAGGTGTATTTAGTGTAATGTCACACTCCTCATTTCGTGAAGATATGGGTTGTTCAAATGGTGTAGTAATTGGAGGCGTAATTGATGGTGGTAAGGTCAGAGGCAACTGTGCATTACAACGGTCTAGAATCTTGCGAGTTCTAGGCAACATGTCTATCTGTAATGAAAAAACAATAACTACTAACTGTTATTTTGCGAAGCTTCATAACTTAATCGTTAGTATAATAATTATTGACCTGATATTAACAGTTATTAATCTATACGACTTAAAATACGTATTTCATTACAAATGTAAAAGATTAACATCATAATCATATCGTCATGACAGTCAAAATACTATTACTTTTAATTAGCCAAAGAACTGTTAAACACGGAAATACCTCCTATCTTAAATATGCCCTATTATACAAAAGTTAATTTACTTTACATTTACAAGAATACCAATACCTCCTATCTAGAAAACATGACTAAAAAAATAGTATGGCATCATAAAACCATACATTTTAACGCGAGTTATTAGTAAACTATTTATAATAAATACTATTTACAATAAACATGCTAAAAATATACAATAAAACTTACATTTTGTTTTGGATTTGTTTGGAGCAACACGTGTCTGTCACAATATTAGTATAGGTTATACGGAAGATAGAAGTTGTTGCTTCTTTGAAAATTATGGATACATTTAGAAGGTATTGTCATACAAAGAGTTTCTCACATTACAGATTACGTACAGATACGAGTCATTGGCACATAATACATTTCGCTATACATTAGTAGATGGCGTAAAAACCTCATTTTCGACAAAATTGTTAGATAGGAGGTATTGGCGGTAAGCAGTCGATATGACATTGTAATACAGTGCGTGTTTTGCATTTATATTAATTCGAGTAGTTTTTGCTGTGTTTCACGTGTTTTAATTTTATTGTACGTATATGTATATATTTTATTTCATTTTACGTATATGTATATATAATAATTTAAGTAGTTTTTCCGAAATGAATTCAGATTTACCCAACCGTGTACAAGTTCTCAATCCTGTCAGGAAAACAGTAATGGACAGTGTTGTATTGTGTGCGATTTATTAAAATGTGGATTTTCAAAATTTAACTTTCAAGAAAAGTGTAATATTATATCTGTAGGCAGGCCAAAACCATTACTGGAAATTCAAACCAAGTCGACGAAATGTACACGTTATTTTAACAAAAATATATACGATTCCTTTAAGTGGTTGACAGGTTGTAAAACTCTCTCAAGATTATTTTGTTTTCCGTGTATATTATTTAATATAAGTGATAAAAA